AGAACATAAATTTATAAAACAAATTAAAAAATAAATTAAAAAAATTAGAACAAATTACTTGAAATTAATTTTTAAAAATATTTAATATAATAGTTAGCATTAATTTTTTTTATTTTTATAAAACAATGTTGACCAATAGGTACCTATAGAGGGGAAGGTATGCAAATATCCCCACCCTAAAAATTAATTATTACTAATATTAACTAACAATAATTAATATTAATTGAAAGTTATTAATTAATCTTATATTTACATTATACATTGATAGTAAGAACTAATTATTTAGAATTTGTATCAATTATTTTTATATTATTATTCTTTAAAATTATTATTTAATACATTTAGTTATTAAACAGTAAATATAATAATTCAAGTAATGTTTATGTACGTTACATAAAAATTAAAGTTATATTTATTTTATTTCATATATCATAAAATTGTGTTAAATGATTTTAATAAAACACTATAAGGGTACTCGCGTAATGCAGCGAGATATATATTGATTTTAATGTTTCGTTATATTTTGTTCTAGTAAATGTTTTAATGCGGTTTTTGTGTGGTTTTAAGAAAAAGATAATGTTTTTTATTTTTGAATAAAATATAAATTTGAATATATCATAAAACTTAGAAAATAAACATATCAATATTATTATCAAATTAAGTATTTAAAAGTTCTTCTTTTTTGTGTAATTTCTTTAATTCAATTTTTTTATTATAATTTAATTTAGATTTAATGACGAAGTAATTTATTTTTGGTTTAATAATATAATTTTTTATAAARATAATAATTAAGTATTTTGTTATAACTCAATGATTATCCTAATTATATTTTAGTTTTTTATATTCAAAATGAAATATTTATCCTCTATTTGATTATGTTTATCTGAAGTTAGTTACACTAATTCAAACATGATGTTTTAATAAGTTGTACTTACGCACATTTTATTTATAATCTTGAGTTTTAAGTAATATGCATCAATAAATGATACTTCATGCATAAAAAATGATTTTTAAGAGTTTTTGTCAAATGCTTTATAATATAGTATAGGTCAAGAGATTTTACAAACTGAATGCATAAAGTAGTACTTAACGCATTATGAGTTGTTTTTAAGGCTTTTATGACTTTGTGCATAAATGTATAATACTTTGTACATTAAAAATTATTTTTAAGACTTTTGATAAATATATTTTACAAGATAGTATAAATATAATTTAATAATTAATTAGTTTTTAAAGAATTACGAATTAATTAAAATATGTGAGATTGACCAATTTTATTTATATTTATATCATATCTAATGTTATTTAAAATTATAAATCAATGTAGACTTTTTTCTAAAATTTATTTTAACAAATTCAAAATTCAAAATTTATAATATATAATAATAATATTTTTTTATTTTATTGTTTCTACTAATATATTATATTATTAAATATTTGTTCTAATTAGAGTGAGTTACACTATTCGTCCATATAGTTTGCTTAAATTTTGGATTTAGTTCCTAAAACAAATTATTTACATAAGTGGTCCCTAATTTTTTTTTCATAGCATCTATGGTCCCTCCATTTAACAAATTTAGTTAGCAAGCATTATAAAGGACATATTGATCTTTAAACAAATTATAGGGACCAAAA